GGCTGAAATATTCGGGCATCAATGAAGGTCACCTGTCAACTTAGAGTAGTTCCTGAAGATTACTCCGTGTGGCTATAAACAACTGTTAAATGGAATGATGAATTGTTGAAGGATTTTGAAAACAGAAAAAATGATAGTCATGCCGGCCCAGCATCCTCAACGTTGAAAAATGCCCCGGCACGAAGTGGTTAATAAGAGAGTTGCACAAATCTGAGAAGTCTTGCCACTCTTCTGAGATTGAATGACAATAATAATTACTAATTTTGGTCGGAAAGAGATCAATAATAGTTCTGTCAATCCTCTGATATCTCCCACTGTGGAGGAAACTTACTACACATTCTGTGTTCCTAAACTTTCAAGAAACATGGGCCACCACGTAAAATAACATTGACAGGGCTCTCCCGGCCCCGGTCCTTTGAAATTCTCTAGAACCTTCCACTCAAAAACCTTAACCTATCCCATCGATAGAAGACTACCACACTCTCCTCACCCAGGTATCTGACTGGCTTCCTCTTGCGAGCCTCCTGATGCCCCTCCTCACTCTCCGCAGCCGACAGTGAGAAGGAACTCTTTTCCGATGCTTCCATGTCACTGTCATCTATGGGAAGAAAAAACACAATGTAAAGATTGATCTGGACTGCCTGATCTCAATCTTCCAACATCATCTAACAAAAAATGATCAAACTGAAATATGTAAAAAGTGTAGCATTTTCTGAACAACAACTTCAATTAATCACGTATATAACAGGACAAGAGAGTCTATCGGCAGAACATCTAGTGTCTGGTTTATTTTTCATAGATTTTCATCCCAAGTCAGCCAATCAGACTTCTTAATTGTCCATCCTTTGAATAAGTTTGTTTTGTACCAAATCAAAATTGTCTGGTTTCCTTTCAAAATCTTGAAGAAATATCTCCTATAAAATCCGATTTGCAGACCTCAAACTTTAGTGGCTGTTAAACTTCTCAACGATGTGTTTTGGAAAGAATTTCCAGGGCTTTTCAGAAAACAAGGGGAGTACTTCCTAATTCACTTTACCTGGTACTTTTTCTGCCTCCAGTTCTAACTCCTCGTCCGTGACTTGAAGGTTGAGGAGCTCGTTCAGCCGATCCAGCGAGTCTTGGGCTGTCTCGTCGCGGAAGGCATAGTCGCACACACTGATGTGGGTGCCTGGCAAGTTGGCAAAGACGCGCTTGGGCGTGGCTATGGAACAGGGTGGTTCTGCATTGCAGCAAGTGATTAATACACGGAAACAGAATTAATACAGGATAATAAACTGGACTTGATCTCAACTCCTTCTTCATATCTGCTTACAACCTTAATGAATCCTCCAACATCCTCCATTGTTCAGCAACCAAACTGCATATAGTTTGAAGTAATAGCATCTGCCCTCTCTGTCCTGCAAAATCCTTAAAAATCTTCTGGAAGATTTTTAACATCTTGGAGAATTGGACAGACATAAGACTGAAAAGCAGGTCTTTATTTTTACATAAGTCAGCTTGAAGTGACCAAATGTATCATCAGTCCAAACTGCCTTCAATTTTGGAACCAAATGCCTTCTGGAGCTTCAAAAACGAATCGATGAGGCATTGCTGGCAATGAACATAAAGGAAGAGAGCAAACTTTGTAATTCCTTTGGGCCTGCCCACTTGCATATAAAATTGCCACACAGCGATAACCATGAACTAAAGTGTTGCAACCACTAAGGAGGTAGCCACAGACAAACTCTGTCTTTGAGACCCTTGTACCTGTGTCTACTTCTTTCACTTCCTCCTCTGTACTGCTCTGCCGCAGTTCATCCGACAGCAGCTCCAACCTGGCCTGTAAGCTGCGGATAACGTCTTCCTTCACTGCCTGTTCACACAATCCAATTCAAAAGAGCAGTTACAGTGAATAAAACCCTTACTCTATTGGTTGAAGGAGGGATGGTGAATTTGGCCCAGGGGATGTCCAGGTGCCTTTGAAACTTTTTTCTGGGGAGGAAAAGTCCAAGAAATCAAGACATCCTCAATCCCTGAGGGGTTGCACTGCAATTTTTCCTCCATCATTGCCCCTACTACACGAGTCAGATTTCAGTCAGGCTTTGAGAGCAAAGAGTGGGGAGCAGTGTTGTATGACTCGAGTTCATGACTCAGACTCGAAATGTGTAACTCAGGACTCAGACTTGGACTCAACATTGGTGACTTAGTGGTGGGGAGAGTAGTTATTTTACTGCAAGTGAGAATTCACCCGCATACACTTCATAGAATCACACGGTCATTCTAAGAGTGTCAATCCCAACCACTAAGGCAGGAGGGCCCAGCGAGAAGAGACAATGAACAGGCGTGCCTCAAGGACATGCACTGCCACAAACAAAGCTAAGACTTGAACCAAGCTCGGCATACCAGCCAAGCGGCTTGGAAGCAGTTTAATCAAGTAGAGAGAAACCTACAGAGAACACAGATGATCAAAGGACAGCGTTGGTCAAACTTAAAGTTCTGCCCAGTCGATCGAGGATGCCGACTGTCAAATTTTTCATTCCTTTTCCCTCCAGGGAAATGACAGGTAGGCAACAGTCATTGCAAACGTCTAAAGTGACAACTGGCACTTAAGCATCCAATTCCTCCTGGTGAGGTAGTATTTGACTCATTTATTGCTCACCGGGCACTTGTTTACCGTCGGAGGGCGCTGATACCAGCCAACTCACCTGTATTGCCTCTTCCACGGTGGCCTTGTTGTGTACATAGGACCTGCTCTCCATTACTCCATGCACCTGTATGCGTGCGCTGCAGGGGCTGTGCTGAACTTTGTTGTCGCAGTGTTTAATCTGCACCATGCAAAAATACACCCTGTTTCATTAGTAACTCAAAAACAAGTCACTGTCCATTCATTTTGGCAAGAGAAACATCATAAAAAAGTCAAATTGAAACAAGAAAACAATATAGATAGCGATTGAAACTATTCTAACTCTATTAAGATTTAATAATCGATTGATGCTTAAACGATTGCTGAAAGTTGATCAGATTGAGAAACGTTCTCAAAGTGGCACCTGCAGAGAAAATGGGAGAAGTAAACAAAAAAAAACCAGAAGAAAAAGTTTCTATTAAAAGAAAAGTCTGTTTCCGAGTGAAACCGAAAACAGCTAACGAGGAGAGATAAATGGTTGAATGAATCACGTTCCAAGATAGTTAACTCTAGTTATAGATTGTGGGTTGAGAAAACTTTACCACAGACTTGTTAATGATTAGAATTGACAAACAGAAAGTTCTCACATTTTGTGCCAGAAGCTCTACGGAGTATTTCAAAGCACTAGGCCCACCAGCACCGGAAGACTTCTTGCCTGACTTACGCTGTGTGAATGGGAAAAAAATACCATTTCTGTGAACCCCTTTCCAAAATTTTTAACATGGACCAACGTTAATGCTGACTGATGGATTATCATCATTAAGGCCATTCATCCATTTATTTATTCACTTGCTCGTTAAGTTTGTTACTAATTCATATCATAAAACATAATATTCATGAATTTATATGTAAGATTTCAATTTGGGGGGAATATTTACAAAGACTCTGTATTAAAACAAAATTTTCTTTGTAAAAATAGCTTATTCTGTTTGATAACACTGTTGAAAAGGAGCAGTATACGGTAGATCTACCAAGAGATACAAATTAATGCAAAGAACAATGAAAAATATGATGACCACAGACACTCTCAACCCTAACCCTCCAGGGTATTTTGGATAACAATTAGTGCAACAAGACACAACAGGTGGACTATTCCCAAGGCCAACCGGCCTGGGAGTTTGTAGATGCCTGCCACTGCAAGATCTAACAGCAAGCACTGTTCAGTGTGACCATCTCCAACTGTCTCAACGTCAGCAGTACTTCCAAGCAACAAAGTGAGCCAGACTTTTGCACCTGAGAGGACCAAAGTACACTGGCCCACTGAAGGAACGTCGTAACCATGTAAAAATATGCCATCTCATGTTACTCCGTAAACCAACAGCAAAACTATCAGAGCTTTTGCACGTTGTAGATAACAGATCAATAAACTTAAAGTCCACATCAACAAGCTAGCTATGACATCCACTAAAATCCTAATTCCAATACCTTAGTTTGTGCTGCTTCTAGACTGTCCTGTGGATCTCTAAGCTGACCGTTGACAAGGGCTAAACTGTTGTGGATAGTCTCTACAAAGGGCGATAACCCGGCCTGTTGGAGTAATTGAAAACCCAGAAATGGTATTAGTGAATACAACTCTTGAAACAGATGAGGTACCCATGGGGGCTATGCTGACCTGCTGAATTTATCAGGGAATGAAAGACAAAGTAACAAATGCATTTCATCCATCAACATGTGCCCTTTTCCACTCATTACACTACAAATTTAAAGGAAACTATGTGTATATGAGAATTACACAAATTACATAGTTCAAGCTTGTGAAATTTAGTTACTCCCCCCCAAGAATACTTTTAGCCCAACTCACACGCACACACACAATAACTTTTTCAAGCTGCGCTTACACAAATTCAAGCGACATAAAATTGGCTCAGGTTTAAAAATGTTTCAGAAAGGCTTCTTGTGACAATCAGAAGAGAGCTCCATCTTTGATTACCGAGATCTGCTTGCTGTACTGGCCACAGTCCGCTGCCTGGTGTCGGACAGGGACCGTGATGTCCACGTGTATCCTGCAGTGAAGGTAGGGCCAACGGGAGAGGAAGCTCTGGAACTTCCAGTCGGCTGGTTTGGCTGTACTCTGCAAAATGACCACCCCAAAACAAGCATCCAAAATGAATTATCCAGTTTCACCTGTGCTTTATTATCCTTTCTCCTTGGGCTCATATCACTGGGGGTATGGGGCAAAAATAGTTTTACTTCCAAATGTAGAAATATAAAAGCTCACAATTGCAGACCAAACAGACTGACCAATAACAGTTTTCAGAGTACCAGGTCAGTCTTATTTGCCACTATTTTCGAAAAAAAAAACTACTGTCTAATGGCCAATACTGGGCAATAACACTGGGCTATTGGTTGATCCTGTATGAAATTTCAGACATTACTTCCCATTGTTTAAATAGACATCTTCCCCAGCCATGAATTAGACAGAAATAGTGATCATACACTGACAATGCATTGCCAGTATATGATCCCTATTGCAACGGGATCGACACAATTTGTGTAGTATCAACCAATGCCACAGAACAATTAAGCGATTGCAGTGATCACCCAATCAAGCAAAAAAAAATTGATTAGTTTACCCTAACCTCCTAGATCTTTCCAAATCCTCCAGGACATTTGAGACTTATTTGCAGGATCGGAGGAGGAAAAATCTAGCTGCTGTCATTTCACTTGATGCCTCTCGAAAGCACTAGGAATGGTGCTATCAGGGGTTCTTTCACAGTGAGATTTTGGAGGATTCAAACTTGACCCAAATCTCCAAGCAAAGTGCTTTGGGGGCTTGGGGCTCACTGTACTGTCCTGAGGACTCTAACTTACTTGTGGATTAGAGACATCAAAGGTGCGACAGGTTAACCTAGAAGTAAGTGTTTAAGGACAATAAAGATAAAGACCAATCAAATTTAAGTTTATTAGGTGAAGAAAGAATATTCACCCTCACACAATTCACACCTGCAATCTTCACACACAAAATCTCAGCACTTAACCAACTAAACAACAAAGTCCTCCAATTTGCTGCAGTCTTTGTTATGGCGGCTCAGCGGGAGATATATGTATGAGCCCAGTTAACACTTGGCCAAGGGATGGTGCATTATTAGTTAATGCTGTGCTTCCAGGACTCAGTCAAAGATCATTCATATTCAAAATGGCTGAAAGTGTTCACCAAGCCGAAAATGGAGTAGTGGTGCACCTAGGATTTGTTGTGGGGATGGAGGTTCGGACTGGAAGTCCCCCCCTAAATAGTTCATGATGCTCAAGCCCCACACCCAGCTTACAGGGGCCTGGGATGTGCAGCTCTATCAGAGCCAGTAGGTGTCCACTGTGTCATTTTTCAGGAGGCCAAAAAACAAAGAAAACTAAACAATGGGGGAGAGCTCAAGCCCCACGATCCCCCTCACTGAGGCACCACCGAATGGGGTACAGTAAAACTCTCTCTGAGAGCCTCAGAATCCAAGAAGGATACTTTCTTGAGGTTGCGCATATCTGCAGCATCGCCCATTCCGTGGTGACTTCCCCTTCCTCCAGCAGTCTGTGTTTCCTCAGCAGCTTGTGCACGGCAAACAGTACCTGCCTCAGTTTGGCCTGTGCACTTCTCATCATTTCGGGAGGGGCCAGGGCGAACACGCCCGTCACGCCCAAGCCTCCTGGCAGCATCCTGGTCACCTACAGACACAAAACAGGTAGGAAAGGGAGGCCCAATGGATGGATTCTGTGATTTGTAATTAAATATTCTTCAAACTTATACAGTTTTTGCAGCTCACATACAACAGCATTCATCACAAGCATGCCAATCTACCAATATGCTAATCGAAAGCTAGATTCTTCCAGCATGTGCTGATGATTTTTTCTGCAAAGTGGATGGTACACATTACGGCACATCCTGGCACACTAAACGAAGGTTGGACTGGCCCAACTACAGCATTAAAGTTGGAATGGTCCCAAGCACAATTGGGACCCATCCAAACCACAGTTGCAACGGATGCTTTAGCTATGGTGTAACATGGATACCCATGCAATCAAGGTGGCCCCTGGCCCTGCCATCCAGAAGCAGCCGCACTGACCTGTCTTGCGTGCTCGGCAATCCAGTGCTCGCTGACACCGTCCAACATGGTCTGTTTGTTGGTCTCTTCATCTTCAATTTCCTCTTTGGGACTTGGAACCAGGCATACTGCAAAGTCTTTCTGACTGGTGCACTGCTATGATAAATTCACAATGGAACAAATGAAGGATATCAACTTACCAACGAATGCATTAGTGAAGCCTCCCATGACATGAACGCAAATTAACATAAGGTAAAGGTTCCATTGCATATATCAGATCTTGATTTTAAAGGATCTGCGCAGCAACAATTCATCATGTTCATAGCTAGCATCAAATGTTGGGAAATCTCAGACTTTCAGTACTTCCCTTGGAATTGTGTTTTGTAGTCGGTCTTGATCTTTTGATTTTTTATAGGGCTTATATATCATTCTCTTTCAACCAACGCCGACCATCCCGTGACATATGACAGGTACAAGCGAGCAGCAACATTCTAACTTGCACTTTTCATCACAACACGTTAACACTCAACAGCCATAAGCCTTATCGCAAATACTGCATGGGTGATTTTGCATAATGGTAGAAAGACATTGTGGGAAGGAAAAGGGGCAAAAATCACCCATGCAGTATTTGCGATAAGGCTTATTGACAGCCACCCATACTATAGGCTAGATTATGATGCAACCGTACACCCGGCATGCCCGGCATGACCTGCAAGGAATTTTTGTTAAAGGGACTTTCTTACGTGACCAACAACGAGCCCAATCATCCAACTGTGAGCTCCATACAGTCCGTTAACAAACACCTGCACTCCCTCGTCAGCTAATATTGTTTTGCCCATTTTTGTTTGATCTAAATATCACTTTCTGGCCGACAACGCAATTATTCCCACGAAACACCGAACACACGTGAACTAATAGGCAGCACACCATATGGTAGTACATGTTGAATTTATTACTTCTGGACACCAGTTCGATTTCTTCATTGGTCTCAATGGAGCTCAGTGGATTTCGTTTAGGGGACCTGACGATTTGAAATTTTGAGGGTTTGAAACCGTGGCTTCTTCCCCAAGAAAGTTCGGCTGCTTCAGGCCTCTTAATATTTGGCAATCACAAGGGACTAAACGTCAACAGACCATCTAGAAATAGTGGTTCAGGGTTTAAAATACTTCGCTTAGGGAGCTATGTGCCGACTTGCTGACTTCATAAAATAGAATTTTTCAGTCGGAATGGTACTGTATACCGACGCTGAAATTTAGAAAACTGGCCAAAGTTATGCAGGTCTGGATTCTGCCTCTAAAGCGCTCTCCCCCTTATAAAGGATACCGGGGTTAGTATGGTGCCAGAAAACTCCATGTCATCAACAACCTAGCGCTGCTTGGCTCAAAAACGAAGGCATTTTTATCTTGTACATGATTTTACAACTAACCGGTACCACAAGGATCAGCATTTCTGTTGGTAGTACACAGCTGAAATGGTAGAGTGAGATGTTGCCAGTGGTCAGATTACTTTTGCCTTTCAAACCTTGATATGCTTGATATGACTGGTAAGTTTACAAAAGTTTGTTGACAGATTCTAGTAGTAGTAGTATTTGACCGTACCGTGTTGACTACACTCGTACCACCATGCATGCGCGTTGAGCTAGCGGAGGTCGAGGCCGGCTGCGGGGAGGGGGGCGCCCCACTTTTGGCAGGTGGTATGTTGGGGCGGGGCTTAATAGAGTGATGTCCCATATGGGACAACACTCCATGCCCTTACATGCATGACATGTATGCACAAACCTACAGCATGTAGGGCCTATGTACAGTAACGTGTATGAGACTTGTCGGAAAAAAATAGGCCTAAGTTTTTTCTAAATGCTTTGATTTTTATTCCTAAATTTCACTTTTTGAGACATGTTATCACTTTCTGGTAGCTGTTGTAATATTTAAAGGGAAAATTAGAGTTGTACTCTATATATGGAACTGTTTCCAGACCTAGCCCCGTTAGTGTGGCACGGACTGTCACTCCCGATCCATCCTTAGCCACACATCCGTATACGTACATGTAATTTTGTGTCGTCGTACTGAACATTTTCGGCGCACCCACTTATCATCGTGGGCGCAATTTCTTTTGCACACGGACATGAGTCTTGACCTTTCCGCTTTCTAAAAACCATTTATTGAATGATTTCACTCACGTTATTCTGGTATATTCCAGTCTTTTTGCCTTTATCCATTCAATCTAACGGGCTTTAAAATAAGGTCATTGAACATCACGTCACTTGACCCCTCATCGTCTCGACGGCTGTTCCATGTCAAGACATACGTAATACACGGACTGAACGATAAGATACTACATGTACCAATGGGCTCTTCCAAAACTTTGGCAGCAGTTTAGATGTCTTTAGTTTAGATGTGCCACACTAGTGGGGCTATTCCAGACCCTGATGGGTCTCACAACTCTCCCCTCCCTCCTTTGTTCCACTGCCATGACTGCCGTTGGGTAGGAATAATTATGGTTAAGTATCCTCGCAGTCAGAGGTTGTTCCATTTATTGCACTCACGTCTGGGCAAGGGGGCAACCCCTCCCTCACTTTTTACAGGGATCTGCATGTTTTCCTCATTTTCGCTGCAATGTGATAAAAATAACTGAAACCTTTTCAGCAGAGTGTGGGAGATATTCATAGCGCCTAAACAGCAAAATTTCAGGCACATTTGATATGAAGGTTAAGACTTCAGTCAACAATTCAGATTTTCCCCACACCTGACGACACTATTTTTGCCCCTTGAGTCCCAAGTAAGAAATGGAACCGCCACCAGCTGACCAATCAGAGAGAAGAACTAAGACTCAGTGATGTCATCCTGACCTCAAGAATGCCCAGAGCATTCATTGATTCAATTAACACTGTTTTCTTTGGAAACGGAATACCGCCAAAAAAAAATCAGTGCTCAATCGTAAAAACAATTGTGATACAAAGCCTTAGCCAATAGAATATCATAAAGATGATAAAACACATTGAAATCATAAACCCCTCCGTGGATTTTTCTGAGATCAGGCAGCTCGCAGCTGAAATTTGGAAATGTCACCAGCATTAGGTTTCCAAGCAGTGAACACGGTCATCTAAGATTGTGTTTCAGTTTTTTGTGTCATGACATTTCAGTAGACATGGTAGATAAGATGATCAAGTTTTGTCCTTTTTCAGGATGACATTTATCTAAATCAGCTACTACAACAGTCACACCGTGGATGAATGTGTTTGTGAGAGGACGGCGGCACCTGACCATCATGTCCAAAAAGCTGTTTTGGAAGGTGACAAGTGGCATGTTCATTCGGACATTCCACGTTTCCCTCACTCTGGCAATCCTGTGTGTTTTCATCTTCAAAGACACAGGTCAGTTGGACCAGCCGGCTTTATTCCCAATCTCTTCGTCCTTCTCATCTAAGCCTGCCTAGCCTTTCTCCCCAAATCTTAATCCCATCTTTACTTCAGATTATTAGCTTGTCTTTCTGGTCACGTTTGCTGAGCCCATGAGCACAGCAGGTAAGCACTAAATTTGCCCAACATTAGGAAGGAAGAAAATGTTTCATTTTAACCCCTTCTCACCGGGAAACGGTAAGAGCCGCCGTAAAAATTGAGAACCCTTAGCCCGCTTTTCAGCTATTATTCTTGGCCCACACTCGAGCGAACACAGTGAAAGAAGGCATACCCTGGCTCTTGTATATATGGTAATTGGCCTTTGTGTGTTGCCAAGAAATGAAAAGGCCGAATTCGCATCATAATCACCAGCTTCACAATGGTCCCCACTTTGAAGAGAGGCAACGGGAATGTGGAAGCGTGAATAGAGCCGCATGCCACCGAACAATGAGCCTTTTCACTGTGTAAATCAAAGCGTGCAGAGCATGCAGGGCCACAAACCGAGAATTTGCGGTTTGGTAGGTGACCTTCGTGGCCAAGCGAGGCTGGAATTCTCGGAGTCAGCTTTCAGAAAAAAAAGAATGGTTTGCCCTGTATCAATACATGTTATTGTTCTATTCCCTCTACACAACGTGACCATGGACTTACATGTATTCTTGTCACTGCTGTCGTCAGTTCACTCAGTTGGTAGTAATGAAAAAAAAAGCATTTCAGCACCATTGTTCACATTTTCTGTTGGCAGTGACAAAAGCATGCTGCAGATGATGTGCACATAGTATAAGTTAGGTTGAGAATCAAATTCCTCCAAATTCACTCAGACATTTTTGAAGATTTTGAATGATTGAGGAAGGTAGAATCGTGCTACATTTGCCTTACATTGGCATTGATATCCCTTGGGTGTAAATAATGCAGATAAATTTGTAAATGTGCAAATAATATGCACTAGTGGATTCTTGTTCGGTGAGGGATGTTAGATTCAGGAAAGTTCCTGGCTAAAATGAGCCGAGAATCGTGGGATGAGCATAATTTGTTGCGGGTAGCGTGCTCTGCACTCCTCAGACTCGAACCTTGACTGACTTTGTATGCAAAGCATCATTGCTGCTCAACCTCTGCTGATGCCAATGGCAGAATCCCTTGCTTGTCCATTTCTTGAAAAAAAAATCATCACTTTCTGTTACCATTTTCAGCATTGAGGGAAGCGATTCTACAAAGAGACATCCCATATGTCCTAGCCTTTGCTACCCTCCTGACCATATCCGGTGGGTTGTACTTCCAAGCAAGCCTCATGGACCCAGGCTTTGTTCCTGTTGACGGAACCAAGGTAAGACATGGCACAGAATCCCCAGCCAACCATACATGTATTGTCAAAGAGCTGCAGCTGAAACAAACATTCCTACATTTGCTTCTTTTATGTTCAGGAATTCGCAAATAAGTCATCACAGCCAGGATGGGTGTTGTCAGACATTTTATTGGAGAAAATTTGGTTACTTGAAAGTTGAACGCTGTAACCTTTAATTGATATCTGTTAAATTAGTTCTGTTGCAACTTATTTTCCCCAAAGTAAATTAGTACCGTTGTTCACACCAATTTCAGCCAAGGTTTGACACTTTCAGTGTTCTTTAAGCTTTGAACAAAGTTCCACTAAATATTTGAATTGATTTTATCATGTGCTAGAACCGTGCCTGGGAAAATGATAGCAGTTCCGATTCCAATGAGGAGAAGGATGACGAGGAGGATGAAGATGGTAGGAGCAGCTCCAAAGATGAGGAGGCGGTGAGGATGTTGTCATCGCCAAGGAGACGTGCTGGAGTTAGACTCAGAAAATGCGACTTTTGTGAGATAAAAGTAAGTCCACAAAAAAGTCTTTGATAAACGTTTTATACATGTACAAGTTTGTATGGAATCAAAGTTTAAAATGCCATGATCCAGATTTTTTCCCAAGATTTGATGCACTTTCCGCTAGTTCAGGTCCTAATGTTAGGGAAGTACTTTGTAGAAATCGTTGCTTAGAAAATATATTTGCTGAGCGGAAATAAGCAGGGAACCAATGAGAAGTAGTTTCATTTTCAGGAATTTTTGGCTGGTTACCTGTTTCTGCTCAGCAAAATGCTTTCTGTGCTTAATATATTTGTGAATTTTTGGTTGCTACTGTTTTCTCTGGTGCATATTCTTATAAAAGTCCTTTGAGGTAGGTGTTATTACTGTGTAATGGTAATAGATTATTTTAGTGTTAAACACAGGAAGAGAATGTGTTAGGTCAAGTAGGTACCAATAACCCAATCCATGATTATACAAGTACCTTGCACCAGAGTCACTGTAATTGGAAGATGGATGAAAAGCAGCGCCCATTACATCTAACGGAATAAATTCATAGACATCCTACTCTCATCAGCAGCAACCGAGTCTGTGCCCTAAGTGGGCATTCTTGGTAATTGTGGTGTATACTTTAGCGTTTTATTTTTTCACAAAAAAGAAACGGAAGCAGTCGTCTCTACAGTAGGCTGTTTGTAGGCTGTAATTATGTGTGCTGTGCACTGACTGTAACTTTCATGGTGACGTTCCGACCTCCTCTCCAGCAACCAATGCGATCCAAGCACTGCGAAGACTGCAGTCGTTGCGTACGGAAGTTTGACCACCATTGTCCCTGGCTAGAGAACTGTGTCGGGGAGAGTAACCACCGCTTCTTCTGGCTCTTTCTACTGACTGAAACGACGCTGGTGCTGTGGTCATTACAAATAACATGGTATGTCGTCCAGTCTCATTTTTCCAACTTTCTTATTTTGCATGTGTGAACACTGAGTTACGCTTTCATCATAAGGTCTTGTATTAGAGCACGGTAGCAGAACTGGAGGTGGGGCCCCCCCACCTTTTTGACTGGGGAATGGCCCCTCGCCCTTTTGGCAGGTCCTTTAATGGGGCGGGGCTTGATTGATCGCTCTATGAATGACTGATAGTCTGATAGTCTCACAACTACCCCGCTTCCACTTTGAAGAAGGCCTCTCCAACTTATCACGTTTAAAACTTTTTGAAAGGGTTATCTCCCTTTCCTCCTCCCATCCCAGGGGTGCCTTCCAGTGGAAACACACCCTGACCGAGTGGCTGAAGGCCAACGCCTTCTTCCTCGTCTGCATCATCATCATCGCCCTGGCCGCGATGGCCCTGACGGGCCTCCTGTGTTGCCACAGCTACATGATGATCACCAACCAGACCACCTGGGAGTTCATGTCGCACGAACGCATCACCTACCTGCGGAACCTGGAGGAGTCAGTCAACCCGTTCGACGAGGGCTACCTGCGCAACTGCGTCAAGTTCTTCTTCTACTGCCCCTACAGGAGGTGGGAGCAGATGGTGGAGAAGAAGTGCGAGTGCGTCCATCCGTCAAACTCTGTCTGAAGACATCAATTCACCAGTCGTCTTCACCACTTTTTGTCCCCTCGCTTTTCCTGTCAAGGGAATGCACAACCCTTCACATATTTTTCCATGTCTGATCGTCAATTTCAATCTTTAGCTTTGAAGTGTATAAGGAGGGATGATTGGATAAAATCATCGTTCAGTGGCAGTTTTGGAATTCAAGAAACTGTATCTTGAAAGAGATTCTGGCCACTCAAAAACTGATCTTGGTTTTATCAACAGTGATACTTCCTAAATTCAGTAAAAATAAAGCCTATTAATTCATTCCGTGTATTAATCTGCCTTTTTAGATTTTATCCGAAAAGTTTACAGATGTAGTCTTTTTTGTTCTTTTAGGGTAGTGTTTTGGATTAAAGATATTTATGGAGGTCACCCGTACTGAGGAATATTTCTAACCTGAACATACCTTATTTTCAAGAGGTTAGTTGCATGAAACTTGTTCAGAGTATGTTCAATTCAGTCCTGGACGGTTTCAAGGTGTCGAGCAGTTTCCGTTTCCTAAGCTCAAAGCTTATGATTTGTAAAGTCACAGCTAGTTGCTGTAAATAGCCACTGAAGACCAATAAATTATTTAAAAGTCTGTACATTCCTTTCTGTATGTGGTGGTCTGTCCTATTTGATATTTATTACTGCACTATTGGTGGCACACTTAGGCCTGAGGTCATTGTTATGTACTTCTCTATACAGTCGAACCTTGTTAATAAGAGCACTGTTAATACAAGAGTCTGCTTATAACAAGGAAAATCGTAGGTCCCAATCCTTTGTTTATCATTGTTTTCATTCCTGATAATACAAGGTTCCTGTTATAACAAGGTAATTTGCCAAGTCCGAAGGGCCTCTTATTAATGAGGTTCGACTGTATAAACATCCAGAGTAAGAGAAGGAAGGCTTGTATTTGATTACATGATATGGCTTTGTTTATGCCAGCGTTCTCTCTTTTGTGCGTTCATTGAGCTATTAATTGGTTTAGAAATACTGCATCTCTCATGTTACGGTACTAACTAAAATACTGAGGGGTGAGAGAGTACATTTATTCCACCCCCCTGCCCTGCGGAAATGAAGATGACATCTTGTATACCCCAATGCCTGTTCTAATGCTCACAAGTTCCTGTGGCATCACATTAGGGATCTTAGTATTGGAGAAATTCAGGACAGTCAAAACTAGCTTGCATTTTCGTATACTTAAGTTTGGGCTGGATGATAGTTGTGTTTCATAAATACAGGATGTGCATTATCGTGATTACGTTTAGAACAGACAGATCAGTATTTATTTGAAAAAAATGCAGGTGTGTGTGTTTGATGCGTCAGATTCTGTTGAGTTCACCGGGTCACTCATGCTTGTCTTTGTTGATCACATGAACTTGTCACTGTAAATATATTTATATAAATGCTTCCACTTTGATACAAACTTTTCCCAAGTACAAATTTTAAATGACCATGTATCAATAAATAAACAAGTTAAAAAAAAAGAACTGTTTTATCTTGTCTTGTTTGCTGCAGACATTCTTTTAAAACAATTCCCCCCCCCCCGGTGAGATCTGAAGTATCTGCACATCAATAAATTCAGCAATAAATACAACCAAAAGAGACCATGGGAATTGAGATCACAACTTGAGGTTTGACAGGTGTACCATCAAATCTTGGCAATTTTGGAGGATTGAGGGTGAATGGCTTATTGCGAAGGATGCCATCTGAGAAGGTAATGGGTTAGACCTTGTGTTGTTTTTGCTCAGTCATGCATAAATTCAGCCCAATATTTCTCTTGAATCAACCGCAATGCCCAAGAATGCCATTCGCACTGCCTCAACAATGACAGGAATTGCCGGAGAATTTTGAAGGATTGAGGCAGTACCCACACTTTGAAGTAACATTTTCAAGAAATTTCGGGGGATTGAGGGAGAATCCAATTTTTTCACCCCCCAAATTGGAAGATTCTGAAGGATTGAGGAGGATCCCTAGCAAAAAGGGCCAAGTGGGTTAGGGTTAATAGGCAAAGATCTTTAACAGGAGAGGTTTTAAAAGTGCAAGTCTACAAGGAAAACTTTTATGAGGGTGGCAGTTCTGTTTAAACAAAAGGAAAGGTGGCTGCTGTATGCACAAAATACTGCTTTTTAAATAAATCCCTCTTGTTCTTGTGTGAGCGCCATTCCTTGACAACAGAAGAAAGTCCCAACCACTGAGCCAGAAATACCGTGTTCACACATTCAACTCTCTAGGCTGTACCCACAAACAAGCTGGATAACACAGTGGATAGGCCGGCGCAGTGTATGGTCACTGTGCCCAGCAACCGGCTGTTCTTCCAGAAACAAGTCATCAATCAGGTGAGAACGATGTCTCTGCTACATCCCCTCCCTTGTTTTTGTACTGCATGATAACAATTTTGGTCTTTACTTCTCAAGAACTTTCAACACTTTAGTTTATATGAGATTGTTTTGTGGTCATCCAGGATTTTGCAATGCAATTTAGGCAATGGAGTTACATAGTGACTAACATTTCAATTGGCATTGCTTGTGTACCCAAAAATGTACTGTATTAATTTGATACCAGAGAGTTTACTTACAAGCAGTGTAAATGGTCGAGGAATGGTCAATTTCCATTTCTGTGGTGTATATTGGATCTACATGCATTTTACTTGTAGTTATGTAGAATCTGGATCATTCCAAATCCAGTTGCAAAAATACTGGAAGAAGTTGGATTCTCTGGTTTCCACCCCAGTTTTCCAAATCAAATACCATTATTCCACGTTGAAATACATATAGACTCAAGTGTCCCAAGCACAACATATTGAAGCAGTGAGAGAGGTTGACCATGGGAGTGGTTTGTTGGGTGGGGGGGAGGCATCTGCAGGTTGTGGAGCAGATGGGCTTGTCGGCCACGCAGCAATTGGCAACGTTGTTTGATGGTATGTCCATGCACACTCTCGAGGGCGTGGCTTTCCAACAGCGATCGGCCGAGTAAGGCTTCACGCAAGCCGTCAAGGAGAGAGATGAAGGCGTAAGTTTGGGCAATTTTAAACAGTAGACCTGATCCAGAAAGTCCTGGTGTCTTGGACCAGGAGTTTCTGGATCAGGTCTACAGTTTAATCAGCTAGATCTAATTCACGATGAAATCTGTGGGGCAAAATTCAACTACATGTCAATTGCATTTTTCATTTTCATGAAGAAATTTGTCTTTCATAGATAAATTTGTCTTCCATAGATCTGTCAGCAAAACCAAGGGCAAAACAAATTTTTCAGTTTTCACAAAGAGACAAATTCTGCACATGGCACATTCTATAGCAACAGCGTGTACTATGAGTGCTGTTTTCATGAGGAGACAAAAAGTCACACAAGGTTTACTGTAGTATTTTCACAAACACAAATGAGTTTGTTTACAAAACAATTTTAATTGGCTTCTATAAATATTATTTTATAGTTCTGTGTCATTTACGATCCCCTCTCTCATAAAATAGCATTTATAAGTCAAAGGAATGTTAAATACTGAGAAAATAAGCATTTGAAGACCATCTTCAAATGCGATTTTCTTGAAACCTAGGTTTTACTCTCTGGTGAGACTTTTGCCTCTTCATGAAAAGTTTGACATTAAGGTGACAAGGACAGAGAGTTTTCTCAAGGGCAAGTAGGGGATTTCAAGCTCAAGAATGGCCTAAACATGGTGTTATCATTACTTTTCCAATCCATAACACTTCTGCTAGTGACACAACATTTGGCGCCTTTTTTTTTTGGCAGAACCACGAAAAGGAAGATAAATTCGTCAGCAAAAGAAAGACGTGCAGTCAAATCCCTTTATGACAAGGTCCACTGGACTTCACATATTACCTTATTTTATGCTAGAAACCCTTTGCTGTATTCAAATTAAAAACAAACCCCAAATACCTGGGACCTAGAATTTCCCTTTTTGTAATTAGGGTGTTCTATGGTTGTTGTTATTTTCAAGGTTCAGTGGTAAGTGCTTCACTGTGTATGTTACTCAACCTGGTTCACTTTTTATTGTTGCTCAGCCTTTGAGTTTGCCATTCAATAGTTTTTCTACCGCATACAGTAGCTCCCAGAAACAAGGTCTAGATTGATATTGCTTTCCACACTACATGTATTTGTCTTGGAAACCAAGCTCACCGGATTTTTGTCAAAAGGCGAACTAGCTGGCTTTTGACCCATGGAATGTTGACCGATATAAGACAAGTGTATACATGCATGCACATGTACATATACTGTACATGTATGTAAAATCCAACAGTGTAATAAAGGCATTTTGCCCTGTTATAAATTACTAATTGAAATCAATTGTACTAAAGAGAACTTACAGTATTACTAGTTTTGTTCATTTCCATAGACCTGTCTGATTGAATAAAGGGATATTTTGTTAGTCACACAAAAAAGAAGAGTTGTACCCCTTGCAACTTCAAGGCTGATTTCACATATTTGTAAAACTAAAAATCTGTGTTGCAATGAACGTACTTGTACAGAGTCATTCAAAAACTTTTAGAACTGCATTATCAAAATCTTTTGTATCCATGATGCCAAGTTTAAAACTTCTAAGATTCAAATGTACATCACTGGAATATAAATAGTGCTGCACAACGAATCTGGGGCGTGACCACAAAATTGATAACCAGACCAGAACACAGCAGAGTAAAATTGAAGAAAAATATCATGCAAGTTGCTGATGGCCCAAATTGGAGTTCAGGGAAATTAACATGTTTTAGGTTTACTTTTAGAATTTTTCTTGGAGCCGAAACTAACATTTGTTGACTCAGCCTGAGACCCAAGAGAAGTTGAAAATAGAAAATACCCCAAAAATTACATCAAACCAACTTCTCTTCACAATTTTCTTGTAAAAAAGACAACCGTCATAGGTATTTCCGGGGGTCCCAATTTAATTGCCAAATTTGATTTTTTTGTTGTTGACCTTTTGCACCAGAAAATGAAGATCAGTGATCTAAATTTGGAACAACCTGGACTGACAATATATGTCAACCTTTTTAGAAAGACTCACTAATTTCATGAGTCTGGTGGCCTGACTGGGAGGGTTAAAAAACTCAGTGCTTGATGCTTCATTTCAGCACTTTTAATAAGTGTTTGACTTGTTGACAATTTAATTACAGTGCTGATGAAGCCAAACTCGGCTCTGCCTGGCAGATGCACTTAGGAAGCCATTCTGAGATGTTTTTCCTGGTTGCTGAAGTAAGATCCCAAGGCTGAATGCACAGTTTTGCATGCAGACATCGGAGGGAAGTGTGCAATGTACATGTAGATTCCAGGCCGACGTAAGGTGCTTATCAAAATGACATCCTGTCCACTTGTCACAAGTCAGCACCACAACATCCTTGTGCATTCACTGTGAACTGAAACGGCTAGCCCACAGAAAGTGGTCGCATTCGTTCGCCACTCAGCCCTGGTCAGTGCTGGTCGTGGAGCCTTTCATGTCAGTGAATTTGTTAGGCATGGGGTGTTCCTTGGGGTGTTCGAGTTGGCTTTGGCTTAACCTCGACAGTTGTGTTACCAACACGAGTGCCATGACAGCAGTGCTGACTCCGCCACAGCTGCATTATGATGCTACCTTGCCGGTGTTGGAAATCACATAAGGATGGTTTGACGGTTTCATTTATTGGAGTATCCTTTTCAGCATTAGGCCTACCCTGCAGAAAATTGTTATGCAGGCGTCTGAAGACATACCAGACACAGTTGAATTCAATTCCATCATCCACAACAGAAAATGCTCAGTCTTTTTCAAAGAGTTCCATCGTCATGTCCATGGTCTACAAACTCTGCATCTTTCATTCACCACTTCGGAGTTCTCCAAATCCAATGCGACTTGACGTCGATGGGGCAGGACGCGGGTCGTAGCCAATCCTCTGCTGTATTCTCTCTTGGCGTGCTTTGGGGTCCATGTCCTTGACACTATCTCCCACCACAGAGGGTGTCCCTCCGTCTTGACCTTCGATCCCTTCCATCTCCGCAGCTGTTCCGTCCAGCTGCTGTTTTTCCCTCCTCTGCTGTTCAAGTTCCTTCTTGAAAGTCTCAAACTCCGAAATATCATCGATTTTCAGGGCAATCCTCGTTGGACCTCTCCTGATCATTTTGAAAGGGAAATGGAAACAGGAATCAAGATGAATGAACGAAAGTTGAAGAGGAAAGACCAACGACAGTACAGGCACAGCCTACTCAAACATGTCTACCCACAGACACTTACAAACACATAGTACGGCCAGGCGCGGCAGCTCCTATTCAAAACAACGGCGGGGCACCGTAGCGTATAGTCGCGCCGAGACCAAAGGTGGTATAGCGCCACATTGCGGCGCCTTCGGCCAAGACCTGGTACCCGCACCCGACTAAATCCAAAAGCGTCTAACTATTCACTGGTGTGCGTTCCTCGATTGATATAGTACAAACAAGTAGGTTACCAGTTTGTCGGATGTGTAGGATAGTCCCATTAAGGGTGCAAACCACTAATTCAAGTGAGAATTTCTGACGAGCTCATTAGCATTAAAAGTACATCAAAAGTATCTTTTGAAAAAGGACATTGTTCGGCCCCCAGAATGGTGAGATTGTGCAAATCGTTGCCAGGATCAACTCCCCGGATCTTTGAGCTTTCATATGAGAGCAGAAGGGCTAAAAACTACGGTTGAATTGGTCCCGGCTACTTAAATGCCCGAGAAAGTTGAGGGTTGCCACTTGAAAAATGGCTGCAATCACACTTCGGGAAAATCACTTTTTGTGGATGATTTTGTTTTGTGGGAATAATTAAAAATGTAATTGGTTAACCCACAAAAAATTGAAAAGAAATTGAAAGATAAGTGACCAAACAAGAATTTCATTTGTGTTTC